CATGACCTTTAACACCAAGGATGCCCACACCGACGTGGTGCCCATAATGCCCTACAAAGACTCCCTATCTAGTTATATGCGGGACAAATACCAGGCTAACCAACGTACAAACACCCAGCGCCGTGACCTGGATACCAGTGCCATGGAGACGGTTATGTCTAACCTGACGAAGGAATACGAGGACGAACTCGAACTCTGGATAGAGATGTCCAACACCGAGGACAGGGATGTGTTCCTGTCAGAGGCCCGGCTTATCGGCACCCGTATTGTCAACGAAAACAAGGATCGCTATAATCTGAGACTCAATTTACGTGAACTTCGGGACCAGATTCAGACCATAGCCTCGGAAATGGTGGACGAGTTTGAAGAGCACGTGAAGAGCCGGCGCCGGGCAAAGGAAGGGCTCATGAAAAAGGTTATCCATTGGTATAAGGAGGAGATCCGCAAAAAAAATCCTGACAAAAAGTTTATAATACCGGAACGATTGGAGGGCATTCACCTGGATCTAGTGAGACTTGGTTTAAAAAAGTTCCAACATGAGCGTGGACATATTACCAATGATAGGTATTAATTTGTTAATGTTAAAAATATAGTTTGTTTATAGCATGCTGAAACAAGTTACATAATAAGATTATTTAAGTTTAAGTTAAAAAATTATGAATCCTGATTATGATCCTGATAAGAATGCTTATAGTAAATATAATAGTTTAGTGCTTGTGGACATTGTGCATAAAAAAAATTGTATAAAAATATAATTTTATAATCTAATGTTACATTTTAAGATTGGATAAATGTTTGTGATATTTATATAATTTAAAGTATACTTTAATTCTGTTCCCAAACACTACTATACATATGAACTAAAATATTTGGTATTAATAGCTATATGAAAGAAAACAATGAATATACCTTTTGATACCTTGATCCAAATATAATAATATAAAAATAGTTACCGGTATAATAATTATACATTCATTTATTAGGTACGAGAGCATTACACGCGACACTATGGAAGTCGCATATAAAAAGGTGCAAGATGAAAACGACCAAAACGCACCTACTATTCCTGCAATTGGCATAGACCTGGGCACCACCAACTCGTGTGTGGGCTACTACGACCCGGGCCGACACACCGCGGGACAGGTAGTCATATTCAAGAACCAGCGCCGGAACGATGTGACGCCCAGTTGTGTGGAGTATAGGCCTAATAGTGAACGCCCGGTGGTGGGCGAGGAGGCTAAGGACAACCGGTTGGCAAACCCCCGGAACATCATATTCTCGGCAAAACGGCTTATCGGGCGCCGGTATGACAACCCAGAAGTACAGCACGACTTTGTCGACCCCAACACCAAACTATATCCCTTCGAAGTGGTTGACGTGGGGGACAATAGGGCGGACGTGGAGGTCGAGGTGGACGGTGTGGTCGCTAAGTATTTACCGGAGGAGGTGTCGGCCCACGTGTTAAGGAAGATGAAAGAGGTGGCGGAGGAGCGGTTGGGGTACGCCATACAAAATGCGGTGATAACTGTACCTGCTTACTTCAATGACGCCTAGAAGGAGGCTACAAAGGGGGCGGGGATTATGGCCGGACTCAATGTGCTGAAGATTATCAATGAGCCCACGGCGGCGGCACTGGCCTATCAGTTGGACAGGTTTGATGATATACAGGCCCGGTATGTGTGGAAAGTTGTTAATACTTTATAATATTATTATAAATTAGTCAAAAATGAATCATACTGTAAATTGTTATTTCTATTATATAGTAAGGTGTTAATATACGATTTTGGTGGTGGTACATTTGACGTGGCTATATTAAAGCTGCAAATGGGTCAGATAGAGGTGTGCGCAGTGGGCGGGGATAACCACTTGGGCGGTGATAACCTGGATAACAATGTCATAGAGCACTGCCTCAAAGAATTCTACAGTCGGAAGGGTATCCTAATCGACAGGACCAGCGCTGAGGGGGAACGGGCTCTCAGGCTATTACGCACGCAATGCAAGCGCGAAAAGTGGTTACTATCGGAGGCCATGTCGGCCACCATTGCTGTGGACAATATTATTGCCGGTCAGCACCTGGTGGTCGAACTGACCCGCGGTAAGTTCGAGGAGCTTAACGAACACCTGTTCATTAGGACGATGCAGTGCGTGGATCGGGTGCTCATCGACGCCGGTATGTCCGTCGATGATGTAGACGATGTCGTGTTGGTGGGCGGGTCCACGCATATACCCTTTGTTAAAAATTTGATTGAGGACCGTTTTGGTGGTAAACTATCTACAAGATTAGACACCGAGAAAGTGGATCCATTACAGGCTGTAGCTAAAGGGGCAGCAATCCAGGTGATTTTATTAAAGCATTTTGATGTAGTCAATTTTCATTTACATGACATGAATAAGGTTGAGAAAGGTCATGTAGATAATTTAAAATTATTAATCAAAATATAATTATGTAGCATGATGATTATATTTGTGGTCTTAGTAATCAAAAGGCATACTTTAGCTCTGCTTTCATACAACTATTTATACCAAACAGTACAGTAAAGTCGTATGAAAGCTATGTTTAAGTATACCCTTTGATAATTGAGTTCACATTTGCTAAAAAAATTTGTTATCAATGTAATTACAAATATATTATATTTTGCATCCCAGGTGGCTATACTGAACGGAAATCAGGCGCAAAAGCACCGGACCCTACGGGTGCTGAACGTTACACCTCACACCCTTGGCGTTAGGACTGCCGGTGACGTGATGTCGCCCGTAATCCGGGCGCAGTCCCGGGTGTGCACACCGTTCACCAAAATATACAGAACTGTTTGCGACTATCAGACGGACATCGATGTGGAGGTGTATGAGGGCGAGGATGCCGTCGCCACCCGTAACGACCTGTTGGGCAGGTTTACGGTCACAAACATACCGGCCGAGGAGGCCGGCAGACAAAACATATCAGTCATGTTTTGCGTCAATGACGAAGGTACTTTGAAAGTGAGGGCTGAGGTGCTGTCTATGGGTACGGCCCACGAGATTGAGGTCACGGAATATAAGGGGAGACTCAGTATGGATGAGCTGCTTAAACGTCGGCATTGAGTATAGGTTTTCGATCATTATTACAGAATATTCTGTTTTTATTGAGTCTTAATTGATGTCAATTTGAGGGATCAGTACTGTTTAACACTATTACAGTTTTCTTTAATGAATTATTTTATAATAAAATATTTATTTCTAATTTTAATCTCGAATTAATAAGATATACATAAAAATATACAAACGATTTCTGTTATAGAAATACATAATTAAGGTTGTCAACTCTGCTCTAATATTATTTCTAATAGTAATACACACAGTAGTATGCAGTAGTGTTGAGTAATATTATAGCAGGGTCGAACATCTCTTTTTGTATAACTTTGTTTTATATAAGTTATTATATTATAATAAATAATTTTCATACATAAGTCAGTGATTAAAATCACAAATTATATTTTTCATTTTAATAATTTTAAATATCAGTTCCAAAAAATGAAATAAATGTGAAATATTGCTTTAATAAGAAAAAAGTGATTCATTATTTTTCACACTATATTCACTATATTCAGTAAGTTTCAAAAGTAGAATTCACATTTAGTAATGCTATAAGTATTACGGTACTATTTGTAATAATTTGTAATACGTGGAATATAGTATATTGTATTTTTAAAATTCAATTATATTGAATGTAATTATTTTTGTAAAATTCAATCCGAGTCATAACCACCATCTGGCCATTCTAGTCCACAATCCAGGCATACAATGGCTGTTTTTAGTTGATCCAGGTACTTTGTAGTATGACTGCAATTAACGTCTACGTCCGAGTATATAGTTGCTGAGTACGGTTTATCATGAACAATTTTAATTGTATTATATGTGCATTTGTGCTTTAGTAAATAATATTGAAAAATTTTATATTGAGGATCAATTGGCACTGTTTTATTTCCGATTAATTCAAAATGATTTCCATGTTTTTGTAATATACCCGCCTCAAATGCGTATTGCTCATGTAGTTTATTTATGCCGATGGTTGAACTATCTATTTGCTCGGGTATAATTTTAGGTTGACCAGCGCAATTTGGTAGAGTACCACAAAAGTATATCATACCTTCGGCACTAATCAAATTTGATGATTTATGTAGATAAATCGTATTAATATGGCTGCCAATAGGATTTCTTGCTAATAATTGCTTCGGCTTGCTATTATGACCTAGGTTGCGAAATTCTTGCGATCCCCAACTATATAATTTACCGTCTTTAGTTATTGCAAATGACGTGTTACGAAAACAGTTTACATATTTAATAGTTGTATCATTATTATGCGTGAACATGATCAATCTTGGTGTGTCTACATTTAATACGCTAGTTTCATCTACAATTTGGCCATCCTCATTACTTCCCCACGCGTACACCTTTCCATTGGAGTCTAAAGCCAAGGTGTGACTTTTTCCGCAACTTATCTGGATTATTTTAATGTTGTTGTTTAAATTTATATTTCCATAAGGAATTATTAATTCTGGTTTTCCAAATGTATTTGTCGGGGGACCTAGTCCTAATTGAGCACGTTCATTATGACCAAATGAGTAAACAAGGCCATTTTGGGTTAGTGCTATAATAAAACCTTTCCCGTTGTAGAAATTTGTAATTTGTTTATTACATAAATCTTTAATTATAATTGAGTTGAAATTGTCTTTAAAAAATTTCCCCACACCATACACGTTGCTTAATAGTTGATCATTTTCATTGCTTGATTCAATAACACAGATAATTTCTTTTCCGCTTCCACGTTCATTTTGGTCTAATTCGCGTTTATTTAATATATAAAATATACTAACCTTGGATATGTCAAATTCTTGAACATTTTTTAATTCATTAAGTGACCTTAATATTTCAGTGCACATTTTTAAAAATTTGCCATATAAAATAAATATATTGTAACAATATTAAAATTGAAAATATTATACTAACAACTATTTTGCTAATAGTAGTAAAATGGAGTTGTTTTCTTATCATATAAGTTTCCATGCAATTTTATCATTATATAAAAGGTTACTAATGTTATAAATTAATATTTTATATTAAGTTAACTTTTATATATAGTTATAATATAGTTTAAGTTTTATATATTGTTTTAATATCATAAAGATAGTTCTTTATAAATTAAATTGCCTCAACTTAGTTATTTTATTTTTTACGATATGGTTACATAGCATCAGAGTCTACTAACCATTGTAATCAGTTATTTATCTAATTTATTGTATTGGCATAGTGATTAATAACTAGTGATTATTGTATAAGGTTAATGTTTTTTAATATAACGTATAATACTTTACATTATAATTGTTTTTAAAGCATTCATTTTAAAATGTCTATTTTAGAAAAATTTGATGTTTGTTCAAAATTACCTGTAAATGTTAAACAATCTATAAAATTGTTTTTTGTTCTTGATGACCGTATAGGTATTAATATTTTATATATAACCAGCAATGACCGTGTTTATGGTAAAGGGACAAACGACGAAGGTATTTTAGGGCTTGGACATAATACGCTCGTTGATGATATAACTGAAATAAGTGAATTAAGCAACAAAAATATCAACAAGTTCATAAACGGTATTTCATTTGTACTTGCTACAAATAATGATGGTAACATATATAGTTGGGGACAAAATGAGTTTGGCCAATTGGGTAGAGTACCGGGTAATTTTGATACCTATTATAAACCTGAACAAGTTACATTTGACCTAAATTATCAAGAAATAACAACTATATGCTGTGGACTAAGGTATTCATTGATGCTTATGAATAATGGCGATGTGTATGGTTGGGGTAGTAATAAGTATGGACAGTTAGGTTGTGGAAAAGCTAAGGGTAATATTATATTCAAGCCAATTAAAATTGAATTTGGTAATCATGATAAAATTAAACATATCTCATGCTATGTATTATCATCATTTGCAATAAATGAGGATGGTCAAGTGTATAGTTGGGGTTATAATAATAATTATCAACTTGGTCACGATGTAAGACATAATGTTAATGTGCCTACCTTATTGGTGAACCTTTCGAATATTAAATCAATATGTTCATCTTGGATAAATACGTATTTTAAGCAAGATGAATTAATATATTTTTGTGGTTTAATTATTGAGGGCGATAAGGAATTACATGAAAAAATTCCTAAACTTTTAAAAATTGAAAAAAAGTTTGACAACCTTATTCAAATTAACTCATTAAATTATTTTGATTATGTAATCGGAGTTAACAACACTTCAATATATAAAATTTTTGGCAACACCCATGTAAAAACAATTTACACAAATATTATTGATTATTATAACAATGAATATCAGATATCATACAAATCATATATAATTAATGAAATTGGTGAGTATACTGAAATTTTTGTAATATTTTACACATTATTTATTTAATAAATAAATTTATGTTAGGTATGAATTAATATATTTTGCATTTAGAATGCTACACTAGCATTGCTACTACAAATATGATATTATTTATAACTATATTGGCTATGGAAATATATTAGCACAAATTTTTTTATATTTATTTATAATTTTTTGTTAATAACATTCTATTTATTAATATATTTATAACATTATTATATTTTATTATTTAACATTATTTCAATAATAAAACAAAAATAATTAAAATAATTTTATTAATTTAAATCTTAAAATGTTCCCAATTACTCAAGATAGATTACCAATGACAGATCAACCCCAAAATGTTAGGATTGTGGAGTTGATCGAGGAACAATTCCACATTAATAAACATCTTATTGGCAACATATTGACCAAGATCAATGAGAAACAATGCGATGAAATAGCCATCATATCGGTGGTGGGCCCACACTTTGAAGGCAACACATTCACTATAAATCTCATACTAAACTGCCTGGAAAAGGGAGGCCAGGGTGACTGGCCACTAAATGTCAACCTTAAAAGTGGTTATGGATTTCAAAATATTTATAATGATATGGCTAATACAGGTGAACAAGATAAATATCCCGGCATTGAAATGTGGAGTGAACCAATAATCATGGACACGAATGATAAGAAATTGGCAATTTTATTGACAAATCTACAAAATTACCAATATAAATTTATGGATCTTGTCGAAAATCCGTTACTATTACGTATGTTCCGGCTAATATCACAATTATCTACCGTGTTAATTTTCAATCAAAAGTGCAGTAATCTAGATGTAAGTATTTAAACATTACTTTATATGATAGTAAGATTCTAAACCAATATATGAACTCTTCCTTGGTACTGCTGTACAGTTTTGTTTTAATTGAAAAAATCAAAGTATATTTACTATTTTTTTATATTTTCTAATATAATTTTTTTAAATAAATTACTAGAAATTCTCGAGAGGGGAGTTAATTAGTACGTACGCCACTGGAGTAACATCTTATACACATTTAATTGAATGCATAAATCAATGCGAAGTTTTCGAACAAAATAAAAGTTTCGCAGATTTTCGTGAAATACTCAAAAATTCACAAGAAATTGAACAGGAATTTAACACTACGGGTACTTACCTGACCGCCTGTCCCATAAGCAGTGTCAGGAAAGTTGATTGGAAAGTTGCGGATCTTAACCTGGAATATGTACAACAAATTTCAGAATGTATCAAGGCTAATGTTCTCGATGCTATTAAATGGCCAAGTGGGAAAATATTTACAAATACTGACAATGTTATACATATAATACAGAATTGTAGTGAAATTTTTAATAACCTAACTAGTAGGAGTCCTGAAATTTTAATTGAAACAAGTAATCCAGCTACATGTGAAAGTATATTAAAACCTGATAATTTTAATACAGCAAAAGTTAATGATTTGGATAATAATGGCCCTAATAATGATAAAAGTTTAAACATTTTAAACCAGTTCAAACAAACTACGTCAGCTGGCCATGGTAATACACATACATTATCAATTACTGATTTATTACATAATACGAGCAAAGCTGATTTTTTACCAAAGAATCAACTTGATCAGTCTAGCGTTGACTACACCAATGATGAACTGCATAAACACAAGCAAATATTAATTATGAAATATAAGCAAGCATTTTTCAATGAAATAGATATTGGAGATAAAGATATTATGAAAGCTTTCGAGACAACACACGAAGCATTGAAAAGTAAATTTGTTGAACAATTTAATATGTTAGTCACTACTGAGTCGGACCTGGTCAAAGACATGCGAAAATCACTACAAACTGACTTAAATTTTGAAAAATTAAATTTCGAAGTTATTTACAAAAAACATCACAAAAACGGCGATAAACTGACGAATGAATTATTGGATTGTTTTTTGAATTTGTTACGAAAGAAAATTGATATAAATTTCAAACATTATATGAAACCTAAAAATTTGGGCCAAATATACGAACCGACGGTTAAAGAGATTATGGATTCGTATGACTCGAAAGCCAATGAATTTGAAAATTTGAAAACATTTTATTCAAGAATATTGAGGCAATTAATGGACGGACAGAGAGTGTTGTACCAGAATTTCGGTGACATTTACAACACATTTGTTGTTAAATGTGAAGAGTTATGCGCACAGGATAGCTACCCAATATACCCGGAACAAATTAATCATTATTTAATGCTTATTGGTACAAGTCCATTTAGAAATGATAAATACCTGTGCGATAAATACAGTGAATTGACTACAAATGATATAAAATTTTACACGGACAAAATTAATGCAATTAATAAAAACATTGAAAATTTTTATACAAATTGTACTGAAATGGCTAGTAAATTATACGAAATTGAAATGTGTCAGCTACTAACTAAAGGTACATTTAATGATGATATATTCAGACAAAAATCTAACAATATATTCAACACAATATGGGATGAAATTAAAAAGCAAACACAAGTAGATAAATATACATCAGATATAATCAGAAAGTGTAAAATTGATGTAGAGAATTATCTTGAACAATTTTATCAAAAATATTTGCTCCAAAATCAGGCGAATCATACGATTATTAAAAGTGCCATGGATAAAATAGCACAGAATCTATTCACTGAATATTACCATAAATTTTCCGAATATTCTGCAAAATGTTTACACATGACGGATAGTCAATTTGAACAAGTACATAATCAATTGCTTGATCATTTATGGCCTATGCAGGAAAAGCTCGTATTTGAAAACAACAACGGATTTATTATTGATTATTTATATGAAACGATTAAAATTAATCGCAATTATATTGAAGATAATATCCATTATTATAAAGAAAAATACAAAACATATAACGCAAACAAAAAGGACAAATCACATTCACTTATTATGAAATTCAATGATAAATTAATTGCCATCTATTTTGACAAACTAGCCAACCGTTATATAAATGTGCTTGATCCGTTAGGTAATAGCACTATAAATTGTGTGGCATTTGATGGCAATAATATACTCTATGGATGTAACGCCCAGAGATACTTAAACGGAAGTAATACGTATCCAATCAAAGATATTATGGGACGGGATGTTGATAATGAAGATCTTAGTAAATATAAGCTATATTTTATTGATAGAAATCCGCCAAAAGTAAGGCTCATATTCACGGACACGACTCACGCGAGTGTTGACTTAAACGTCGAGTCGTTATTCGCGTTACAAGTATTGGAAATGAAATCCAGAGCTGAGACTCAGTTTGAAAACTATATACAAAATGTGTTATTCATTGTTCCCACGTATTATAGCATAAGACAAGTACAGGCCGTTAAAGACTCAGCTAAAATTGCGGGAGTTGAACATGCTCATATATTGTCTCATATGAGTGCAGTGGCCATTGATTTTTGCTTTAACCCAGATAAATATAACAGAGACATTAATTTGCATAATGTTCTCGTCTTAATATTAAATCGCAGTAATTGTGATTTAGCACTCATTGAATATACTGACCATTCAGCCCGATATAAAGCCTACGAGGGTTTAAACTATGATTGTGATACCGCAATAAAGGAATATTTTTCAGATTGGTTAACTAGCTTAATGAAAAATTTAAAAGATACACATGACTGCGACTGTCTAATAACAGGTAATAATATTTATTATAGTTAATAGTTATTTATTATTTATAATATTTTATAAGAAATATAAAAACTGTTTTCAGATTGTTTAAAATAATGTTTCATTGTTAATGAATAATAATATATGTTTTACGTATTTAATATTGAGGAACGATTATAAAATTAAGTGGTTATGAGTTTTATGAATAGTTAGTCAGTGGCACAATTATCAATTTTCAATCTATTTAAGTTTACAAATCGATTAGATAGCCTGTTGAATTTACTTAAACCATCGCTGACATCCTTATTTTGACATTAAAATAACATATTCAATGGATTGTACATGACATAAATGTCATTTGTTTGCTGCATAATTCCAACAATAAATACCAATACTGTATATACACACAAAATACTAGTATATCATTGTATGAAATTAAATCTAATGTTTTTTAATGACAAAATAAGGACGCCAGCATTAGTTGAAAGTGAATTCCACAAGATAATTTATTTGATTCACAACTTTTAGTAAATCAAAATGTTAATTATGTTACTAGCTAACAATTCATGAAAATTACAATCACTTAAAGAAAATTCGTCCCTCACTCCTTACTAAAACAAATCCAGAATTTAGTATTTAAGTGAAAATAATGTTTTTATAAGCTTCTGAACACAGGATAGAAATATCTAAGTTTATGCTTTATAGAAAATCGAAAATCATGAATTTTGTTAAATATAACTTACGTACTAACGATTTTTCAAACGAACAAGTTAGTTGATGAATATATATATTTTCTAAATAAATAATAAAATATTATATAGAGTGTCCCAACATATTTTAACTAATTTCAATTAAAACTCACATTATTTACAATAATATTATATCAAACAAAACTAAACCTCAATGTTGATTTATTAAAATTTTATATGGGATTTACAAAATATTCATAAGAAGAATACCCTGGTAATAATTTGAGTTTTAATTCATGCATGACTATTTCATGTGTGTAACAATGCATTCAGTATTATGATCAGGGGCACATATTTGTGCAATAGTTAATTTAACTAATTATTAAGTTTTTTAAGTTATAATTATTTAATTTAGTTAAAAATTAAGTATTTAACTATTAATTAACTATTTTGGTAATTAAATTAACTTAATTGTGCGTTAAATTAACTAATATTTGAATTAGATTAACTTTCTGATGTATAAAATTAATTAAAATTATGAAAACAATTGTTTACTTATTTCACAATTTAGTTAGTTATGACAACAATTAACTAAATTTAGTTAACTATTTGGATTAATTTAGTAATTACTAATGAAATACAATTTTGATACATGTATTTGCCGCTCTGTATACATGTACCGTTTATCAGTTTTGTATAAATTAGAATAGATATATGCGAGAGGGCTAAGTTGGAAACATCGTGACCTGTCAGTAAATTGTGCAATTAGAATAGGTATTAAAACAAACTTTATGTCCCTATCGACAAATTGAATTAATCAAAATCGGCGAATATCATGAGCTAGTTCTGTAAATCCAGTTATAAACATATTGACATAGTGATTTTACACATAAAAATAACAGTATTTCTATTGGCGGCCTTCATGATTTTTATGTATGAATTTATACCAAATATTTTCCGTAAACCAAATGACAATTTGTTTGTAATTTGACGGTTCATAGCGGTTAGAGTGTTCATGAAGTGCCGCCCATAGATATTATGTTATTTTTATGTGTAAAATCACTATGTCAATATGTTTATAACTTGATTTACGGGACTAGCTCATGATATTCGCCGATTTTGATAAATTCAATTTGTCTATAGGGATATATAGTTTGTTTTAATACCCGTTCTAATTGTACAATTTACTGACAGGTCACGATGTTCCCCACTAAGATGAACCCATCTATGCAGAATATTGAAGGTTTGGAGAAAACTACTGCACAAATATGTGCCCCTGATTATTATTATACTGTCGCTGAAAATCAACACAAATTGAATCTTTGCTTGTATTCATAGCGCTGCAAGAAATGTGTATTTTTGTGTTTTTAATTAATGTAAATTGAGGTTTTCTTATATTCTGACCAGGGTATGCATCATATGATTAAATTTTGAAACCCATATATAATTCGAAAATTCTGGTATAGGATGTATTTGAATAATATTATTGTATTATAATATTTATTTTTTAATTGAAGTTGCTGGGATATTTTTGGACACCACCGTAATGTATTTTGTATTAAATTACAATAAATTATGCATGCATACACATTTAGGAAGCAAAATTTTATAAATTTTATTTTTGATATTTTCATTTAAACATTAAGGTGATCGGGATATAATCAACAAATATAATCTAAAATCAAAGCTTGAAAGTAACCAATTCTCCAAACTAAAATTCTCGAACGTAAACATCAAAGACATTTCACAGTTGATTACCAGTGGTGCCCACTATTACAGCAATTACTATGAAAAACACAAAACTTTGATTAAGTTGAGCGGGGTAATTTTGCACGATATAATATGTGAGGTAGACTTTAATAATGACAAAGATTGGATTACAGAAATGTTGTTAAAAAAGAATAAGTTACCACAAACAATAAATCGAGCAAAGTTTGAGTTACCAAGAAGTTACCGCTTACCCATAAGTTTGTACATCACTCAAGGATCAGCATACAAAACAGTAATAAAACGTTATATTATTAGACATTTGCCCAAAACCAATTTACAATTGAAATATCTATGTATTTATTTAACACCGGACACTTATGATACTAATGAGTTTAATTTCACTGTAAGTGCTAAAGTGTCAGGGAAATATGTGTCAACTTTTGAAAACGTGACTTTAATGGATGCAAATAATTGTCTAAATACCAAGCAAATATTTGAGCAGGCACAATTCGTGGCGGATCTACGAAAACGTGAAATGACATGTAAGGTTGAAATAGCTCATGTTGAATTGGTTGACACTGGCTTATATTATACAATGACTGAGTATAACTCTCATAATACCGATATCTACAATTTTTCTACACCACAAAATCAACTTGGTCAAAGTGAATATAACGCGACAGCTAATCTAGTTAATGAAAATGAACTAAGTGAATTTAACACGACATGGTCGGTAATTTACACGAATAAGCTTACGAAAGACATATCGTGCGATGCAGATGTTCAAACATTTACTGAGCAAGCAAAAATTATACGCGATCAAGTACTAAAACAACACGAACAAATGTTTAATAAGAAACAGCCTGTAGATTTAGTCAAAGATTATCACAAAAATTTAGTGAATTTTATGGACATTGAGGATTCTGTATTTAAAGGATTAATAACAGATGTAATGCTTAATAACACCAAGAAATACGAGAGTCTGATCAAACAATACGTAACAAAATTTAACAATGATATGATGGCAGAAATCGACCAGGACATCATTAATGCTAACCTTGTAAATAATTATAACACGATATATATGCGCGTTAACCACAGTACTATTAGTCAGTTTAACATAAAGTCTCTACACTTATCGAAAACTTCATATAAAACGTATCATGCTGTTTTATTAAATGAGATAACTACTTGCGCCAATAAATACAAGTGTCTATACGAGTGTTGCGATAAGTACCGGGATATATGTCACCAAAGAATACTTGCCGAGAGGTTCTTTGATTATAATATACTGACCAAGATGCAATCACAAGTTCTGATTCCTACGATTCTTAAAATGGATAATGATCTACTCCCTAAATTAACATCAATGTATCATAATATATATTTACATTTTAAATTAGCACTAGAATTTATTCAAAAAGGTGAAATTAAATTAGCGAATAATTCTATTAATATAGCTGTCAATTCATACCGAAATACATTAATACAAAAATTAAATTCCGGATACTTTTTACAATTATTTATTGAGGAAATTCACAAGAAATTAACTGTTGAAATATTAAACATATTGCAGCAATCATGCGAATTTAATATATACCAAACTGACTTGATAAAATATTGCGATGACACATGCCAAGATATATTCACAAATATATTCAAAGAAATTTCTAATAATTATTGCAGTAAAATATTAAAATTATTTGACATAAACAATAACATTTGTCGGGATATGCATAAAATGTTTTGCCTTTCAGTTCAAGGTCAAGTGACAGGTCAATTCATTGCAATAGATCGCTTACAAAAAATACTTCTCTATCAAATGGCAATTACTATAGCCGCCCAAAATAAACGCATAACTGAACTAAGCCAGGATTGGGAGGACAACCTATTAATTAAATTTAGAGATTTAAAAGGGAAAAAATTGAAAATAATTTTGTCAAATCAAATACATCAATATAAAGTGCAAAACTTTCATCACCCTACTAAAACTCAAATTTTAGGAATTTGTTTCACATGCGACTATCTAATGGGCGCATACTTTGATGGCAAAGTACAAAATGTTCCTGATGGCAAAAATGGCAGCAATTATATCGACAATTGCATCGCTTATAGAAACGCGTTTATATTTGGATCCGAAGCCAAGGAGTATTTGGGCGATAGTTACCTCCCGTTTGACATCAAAGACCTCATGGGGAAAGAGTGGGTGGAAGAGTCGGAGCTCAAAAAATACCCGTTCAACGAATGGGCTAATAATCCACTGCGAGTTTGCATAACCTCCCAAAAGCACCCGGATAAGTGTTATAGACTAAATATTAAGACATTAGTGGCATTACAGGTGTTGGACATTAAACACGCTGCTGAAGATCAAACGAAAGGCATGTTACATACCGCTGTTTTTACGGTACGTACCGATTGCCGGATAAGACAGCGAGCTATACTTAATGACGTTGCTAAGATTGCTGGTTTTGATAAGGTATATCTAATTAGCGAGATAAATGCCTCCGCCATGGCCTACCTTATAGATAAAAGTATAGACGATAAATCGAATGAAATTATTATGATATACGCACTTGACAACGCTCATTGCGACTGTGCTCTTATAAGTATGAGCAACACTGAAATTCAATATATGTCTTATGACTCGGATACAGTAGATAATTTGCTAACTCTGAAAGACCCAGGTAGCTC